AAAGTGTTCGCAATTTCTCACTTATTCCCGTTATCGCATCGCTTCTTTCATACTTTTTTCACCGTGTACTCAGTCCGCCCGGAACATGCCTCAATGTCATAATATAAGGATGGAGTCCGTGAGATCAATCCGAGAGTTCGGAGAAATATTTGTTAGAACATTAGTTTTTTCATATTTTATAATTAAGAAAATCAGAAACACAATAATTACACTTTTAATATTTAAGATCACGTATCTCTGATGTTATTAAATTGTAATGTTTAAAATTACTTTAAATTAAAAATACGAATATTTTGGGATTCTTAAATGAATAACATTATTAGCTAATTTTGAATTACAATTTTAACCAGTTAACTGTGGCGACCATAGCAAGCAGTGCTCAAAGTTTCGTGCCGTCCAAATCAAGCTCTTGATGAGTAAATTCGTTAATCACAAAATAAGTTAATTAAGCTCCGGAAGGATGAAAAGGATATATGATGAAAAATATGGGCCATTTCACAAAATTTATGAATGTTATTACTACATGATAACATAAGCATATACTACTCATAATAATCGTAATAATTCATTAAAATTTTATACATGTAAATGTAAAAAGTAAGAATAGTTTACGAAGATAAGCATATACTATTTTTAAACTCAACAGTAGAGTAGAGAATGTTATTTAGACAAAGTTGTATCACACTCCATGACAATTAGATAGAGCAGGGCTTGAAGTTCCTCGGATAAAAAGAATCAACAACGATATCTCAAAAACCAGTGAAGTTAAGAATTTTTTAACAATAATATTTGAAAGAAAAGGAATAAAAATGTAAAACCAGCCATGACATTTGATTCTTACGACATTGATATCGAAAAAATATACAACAATGCTTGAAATCCATAAAAAAAATTATTTTCGTCTGCTGTTAGATTTTTAGACTTCAAAATAATTTTCAAGTTTTCATAATTTAATTGTTTTATAAGGTGTATTGTTAATTCTAAATTAGATTCAATTGGTTTTTATATAATCTATATAAAAGCTTACACTTAGGTGGGGTAAAAAAGACCAACTAAACCCTCACCATAGCAATGGTGTAAAAAATTAAAAATAACAAACAAAAAAGTAAATTAAGTTAAAAAAAAACTAATTAGCAAGAGATAAATTGCATAAATACTTATTTCACCTCTGCTGATGAATATTTTTGACAAAATACCAGATCAAGATTATATACAGTATTATCTCTGTAAAAATGTACCGATAAACTTTATATTTTGCATTCGTTGAATGATAATGTTTAAAACTGGATCATTTTGTCCCTGGCCGTCCCATTTGACCCTGACTATGGGGTACAAAGAACCAAGTTCAAATTTTTGTAAAACTAAATTTGAAAACAAAAAGACACATTTCTTCATTGGTATGTTAGCTCGGAGTTTTGCTGAACATAGTCAGATAGCTTGCTTGATATGTGTTATTTGTTGTTATGTAAAGAATTTGGCTTCACATTATAATTGCACAAAGTCGAATTGGATCTTTGTGCCCCGTTTTATTGTATATATATATATATGTTAACTCTAATCGTCTCTGTCAAAACACAATGTTCTCTTAATTATTTATTTACTCTAATTACACTAAGTTCTATATTATACGTATTATGTTCTCCATTATATATATTATGTTCTCTTGTTTTGCTACACTACACATTGTCACTGTACTAGATTCACGCTGTCATTAGTACCAACATTTATACATCCCAACAGCGCCACCTATTCATATTCATAGTTAACATATATATTAGAGTAAATACTTTTCAAATCATCTTCATTCTTCTTTACCATCTATTCATTTCATATTCTGAACTCCTCTTTCTTCTTTTGCCACTTTAATTCAGTTTTATTTCTAATTCCACAATTTCTATACATGAAGCTGATAACTTTTACATACATATTCGTTATTACTATTTATAATTCAATTATAATTTCAAATTAACTACTTAATATTATTTCAATTTCTTTGCCGGGGATTTGAACTCAGAACTTCCAGCGTGGAAGTCGGGAACGCTACTCTGTGAGCTAAGCTTGCTGGATAAAATTATTTTACTAAATTTTATATATGTAATGCAATAGGAATTTTATAATTCAAATATCGCGCCCTTACTGTCAGTGTTGCTTTCTCCCTCTATAACTATGTATCCGACATTCTAAAATCTTGTTAATGTAAAAATATATAAAATAATCTCTCTTGCCTCTAGATCGCGAATCGAGCAACATTACAATAAATTTAGTGTATTTGAAGAAAGCATTTTTATTTTTACCACTCGCCATTAATTAAAAGTTAATTATAAAATTTCTTCAGCCTGCATTAGAAATTTTCCCTAAGACTTTTACCGGCTCCATTGCTACGTGCAAAGATTCCCCAACCCCAAAACTCCGTCAGCCGATGACCGGATTGCGATATGAGTTTATTTATCGTCGCTCGCGCCACTGCGAGACTCCGATAACTACGCTACAATAGCCCCGCGAAATGTTTCCGATGGTCGATGGTCTCCTCTTTTGCAACGATCACTCAGTCATTCGCCTCAACAATACTATCAGATCATTTTAGTTCCTACAACTCCGGAATCTCATCCCTAATGCCCTACAAGAAGATATTTGCTTTCCATAAATAGAAACATCTAAGGACAAAGTTCAGCGGAAACCTAAACAAACAATTTATAAAGTCGCATATCAAAGGGATTTAATTTGTAATCAGATACGGAAACAAAATATAAATAGATTATCGATTTGCATATATATGGAGCTCGAGTCGTGTCAATAAATAGTGAAATGGAATGACAATTTCTGTAGCTTTTCAATGAAAAATATAACAACGTGCATTAATTATATATATGTACATAGACACTAGACAGCAGGCACACGTGTCAAACGTCCTTGAATTTCCATGACCATCAATAATTTTCAAGATATTTTTAGTATAACCACTTGTCACTTTTATTAAAAATCATTGAAGTCAATCCAATTACGTTATTTCAACATGGCTGTTCTTTTAAAATTCTTTTTATAATACTTCATAAACCAGTTATGGATTTTTGCATCTAGTGTTTTAATGTTATTTTTTTGTTATGCTTTTAATCACAATCCGTCATAATAAGACAGTCAGTAATTGTTTTGACATTATTATATTGCCTTTAGAATGGATGACAACCCAGTAGTTGTCCAATCCAGTTGTGACTAATTAACTTTACTCGGAGTATTCTATGGAATTTTATTAATTATATATATACAGCCACACCCGCGAAAGTCAATTTTTACTTGAGGCTATATTTAAAATGTATGACCTCAAGTGGGAATTTGACATCAAAGCTGCTTGAAGTCGGGCTTGGCTTTGGCTGGGATCAAACCCAGGACTAGTTTGGTCTAGTCCCATAGACCTTATACTATATACATGTAGTATTAGGATTATGGCTAGCTCATGTCCGAATCGATTTTGCCACCGCTGGTCACAATAGCAATTAATTAATATAAATTACGACTATATTTTATTTTTCAATCATTTTTTTATTCAACAATATATTTACAACTGTCCTACATAGACATTAAGTAAATCTTTTGGCAATTATATATAAAAATTGACATCGATATATAAATAGTGAAAAATACACAGTTGCTTTTTCCTTTATAAGAAGTAATGTAATATGACACGAGTAATTAAAAATTCAATAATTACTCAAGTAATTATCAACAAAACAACAGCATTTTCGGAATATAATTTAGGATTTATATTGATTATTTTATTTGCAGTTTAGCAATTGAAATTTTATTTTAGACGGTACATTTTAAATATAACATTTTGTACAAATATAAAATATTCATATTTGAGAAACGTGATATTTATGAAACTTTCATGACAAAAAAGTAAGTCATAAAACTTTTTTCATCATTAACAACACCGAGTTTAATCAAAGTTGATGCATTTCAATGGATCTCCAACAGTATTAATTCTTTTTATTGATATGAAAATAAATAAGAAGCGTTATTTGTGCTTATTTTTTATGTATTAATTTTATTTAGCTTAAACATGACCTAAATATAGTGTATTTAGGTTATAAATTCATATTATATGTATAGCAATTTATGTGATAATAATTAATTACAATATTGCATGAAGATAAAAAAGACATGTTGCATTGTAAAGAACTATTTGAATCTAACTAGATTCTAGCTAGATGTGATGATACTTACATTTTTATTGTAATAAAATTAACATTCACTACAAAACGAGTGATATCAATATTTTCGTTTGGTTCGCCAAATGTATCCTTAAAAATAATAATTATTAGGAAGAAATTGTTATTTTTGCAGATAACTTCTACAAAAAGATCAGGATAATACCTTGTTTCAATACGCAAAAATACATTATAAAATATATATTGAGCCACCAAGATTATATAATTATCAATAAAATATTTTGAATATTATATCGAATGGAAAAACAAATATTGAGTTTTTTTTTCAACATACCCCTTTAGTATACAATGTCCCTTTACGGCCGAGAATTGTAAATTACATTGAATGTCCTTAACTGGACAGTTGTAAATAAAAGAAAGAATAAAAATACTGTTGATTAACTATTGAAAACTCAATATCATTCAACTTATTGTATTTCCCAGCTGTATCAAAACCATCTAAATATTTTATCTACATTAATAAAACATAACACATTCCTACATTTTTTTGCAAAATATGCCACTTTGATTAAGTCACAAACTCATGGCACACTCTAGCTATTAAAATAATATTAATGAAAATTATAATAAGTACTCAAATACAATATACGTACTCAAATACATTCTGCTAACAAAAGTACCATATAGTCACTTGAATTTTTATTGACCTTGTTATGGAATTATGAATTAAAGCACAAATCATAAAGCACTTGCTTTATAATGAATATAATAATTGCGTATGATTCAAATATATTGATTAAGATTAATTAATTGATTTATTGTTGCATTATTTTTATGTATTTTCATAATTGCTTTTCTATTTCAGAGCCCACAACGAATATAATCGGCGAGCCCGACCTGTACATAGACCGAGGCTCCACCATCAACCTGACCTGCGTGGTGCTGTTTTCTCCGGAGCCTCCGGCTTACATCTTTTGGAACCACAACGATGCGGTAAGCGACACGTCGACTTCTCATTCTCATTTAGCAGCAGCTTTGTGTTACGTCATATTTTCTCTCCAACTTTTAATTGGGCTCGCAAACGAAACAAGCGACCGAGTTTGCGTCTTTTAACTAAAGATATTTAAACGACATTTAGCACATGTGCTGACAGTTTGCTCAACTGATTATATTAATAGAAGACAGTAATTGAACTTTAGACAATTCATTATTTTTGGACGTCATTCATAATATTTGTGTGAAATTTATGTTACATTTGTGTGATTATCAAAACACTTCGCGACCACAAGGTTAAAATTTATTTAATGTGGTCAATTTTTTAATTTAGGATTATATGTTCCTGGTCATTTTTGTTGTAATTTGACGACAAGAATGTTTTTCATGTAGTTGTATTTATGTAGTTGTAGATATCATTACTTTATATATTTTGGCTGATGTTTAGCGTGCAAGCCATATCAGAACTTTTTTTTAATTTATGTTATAGAGCAAAAATATCTGTTGATTTGAATTAGGTTGAAAGAGATGGGTACAAATGTGTTATTTTACCAATTCTCACTATTATATCATAAACAAAATCAAGCCCGCCATTGCATAACATTTAACGTCATAGGCTAGCGTAAACTATAAACTATCCCATTTGATTTCAACCTCGGCCAGCTAAATATCAGGCAGCAAGATATCGAATTCTACTTTAACTTATAGATCTTAAGTGTAGTTGTGTATATGAAATATGAAGTCAGATACTGTTAAGCACAAATAGTTATGTCACAGCTAGAACAAAACAACTGTTGGGCTGCCTTCCAAGACAAGCCACCTAATATGTCAAAAAAAATCTGAATTAAAAAAAAAGTTTCTAGATCTGCTTGACATGGTGAATTCAATTTTGCTTTTATCACAACCTACGTCAATAATTCAGTTCATATTTATTGATTATTAAAAAGCAATAACCACGGCAATTGCCATTCACGGTAAAGCAGTCATAAGTCTAAAGTATTCTCAAGAGAAAAATTTATTTGAAATTTCATATTAAATTGAATGTCTTCAATAGAACTCTTTAGCAATTCTGTATTTGCATATGTATAAAAACTGAATCATAAATTACATTCATATTTGTCTTTGTTTTTGTAATAAATAAATAATAAAATGATAGATCTGGGAATTTTTACTCAAGTAATTTATAGACATTTGTACCAATAATTTATAACAATTTGTAACAATAATTTATAACAAGTTGTACTATATTTCTTACATTAGATATCATGAATTTATTTTTGTTGATAATAATTGGAAAATCTTAAAATATTTTGTGTATCTTGGGCGGTTCGCCAGCTCGTACAGGAGTTTCACTTCTTGTAGCGAAAAATTCAAGTGAGATTTATTTGGAAGACTAAAATCAATGTTTAAAAACTATATTATCTGCATTGCAATAATAACATTTGCTGACCACGTAAACAGATTTCCATACTACAATAAACAGCTATTATCAACAAGAGTCATTATTTTTTAGCTTTTCAAAAGAAGTAGGAAACTAATTAAATCTTTGTTTTCCGCTCCTGGGCGTGGTTGTACACGTTGCGTAAACACTGCAAAACGACCACATTTTAAAAATATATTGCAGCAGTTAAAGTGAGTTATAACTTCTATGTCCGCAATATTAAAAATAATGTAACTATCGTTTTAATTAAAACAAAATATTGTAGTAAGTTTTCTGCTTGCTGAAGCATAAAGTTACCTTAATTAGTTTCATTTTAGCACGTCAAGCAAAAAATGTGTGAAACCTTGGAAAATGAGTTTTATTTATGGAAAATAATAATATTTACACTGAACGACGATTAATAATAGCTTATTTGATAATATGATTTTATGAGTTACTAGTATAAGAATTTTTCATTAATTTCGAACAATGACAAATTATGCACTACGTACGATTATTCAAAATAATGACCCTATATTTATATGTTATTTTGGAAAAATAATTTTATGTTTTTATTTCGTTTTTTTCAATTACGCATGCGAGCCTTTTCTAAATAAAACGCCCAGTTTTATACTAAAATAGAGAGGTATTTATCTATAACTATAAAACTTTTATCGAATTCTAAATTAAAATGTAATAAGTAAATTATTTATAAGTATTATGAAGTACTCTTAATTAGTTCCGTGAAATATTATCATTGCAATGCAGATAATATAGTTTTTACATATTGATTTTATTTTTTTTTTTTGCTACAAGAAGTGACACTCCTGTACGAGCTAACAAGCCTTGGGCGGTTACACAAAATATTTTAAGATTAACGTAAATATATTTGAAATTTGAAAATTACATTTTTAAAATTGCAGTAACAAATTAGATTTCTCAATAATTTAGCTCACAGTGATCAATATTGAAGCAAAAAACGACATGCTTGATGTCGTCCATAGACGACACTTGTGCACACCGGTAGTCAAGCGGATGTCACCTATAGGTGACGCTCGTGGCGGAAGGGTCAATTTTCTTTTTTGGACAGACGATATTTTTGTAAAGTTCTTAAATTTATTGGGTTTTATACTTATGAATATAGATTTTATGAACTTTAGAGTAGCTACTCTAATTCTCTAACAAAGAGTTGGTTCATTTTTAACTTCATTTTAATATTGTGTTTGTCTGTGCTATATTTCACAAAATACTATTTTATGGTAGCCTGAAAAAAATCGCGTTTTTACGATGATATTAGATTACTCACTGGATTTGGTTATGGTGGATGAAAAGAAGAGTAGAATGAAATAAGCTTTACTTGTAATAGTTCGCTTATAATATGTATACATCATATTTGATTATAAGTAATAGCAGGATGAGCGTTTAAAGTAAAATACTTAAACCTATTACAATTTGTTCAAGTTTTATGAAAAATGATGCCCTAAATTAGCAAAATCACTTTCTTCCTCCGAGTCTGATTGTTCGCAACCTTTATTACGGTCGTAACACACGTATGCGTTGGAAATAAAGACCGAATGAGTAATTACAGACGCATTTATAAACGCAAACGCATAATAAGATGTTATTTCTCAAGTTGAGCCTGTCATAAGTATCACATAAACCGCACACCAACGCAACGCCCGATACTGGAAATGTTGATCATTAAACTTCTGTCATCATCATTAGTCTGCCACAATTTGAGTGTGATACATCCCTTTGTATACGTTTTCGTGAAATTGCACATATACCCACAACTGCACAGATTAGTCACACTTTATATAATTAAAATGCCTTGATTTCAAGATTCGGGCTTTTAAGAGAGCTTATTTGAAATTAGAACGTTTTTGTATATGGTACATTTAACCTGAGACCCGTAGTTGATTGCTGGATATAACTGTTTGGAATTTTGTTAAACTACCATAATGACAACTATGGTTTTTTAATCTTTGGCTGTTTCTGTATACAGTCAGAATGGTCAAAACAAAGTTTACTTTTTTTTTTAATTTTATATTCAATAGCAATCATAATACATGACAATTTTATGAGCTATTTGGCTTATGTCATTCACTCGCACACATACACACACACTTTCAAACACACATATAAATTAATATGATAAAAATTATATTGTTAGAGAATCACTTCAATAAGTGATTTTACTACTCTGTTTATATAAGGTTGTTGTAGTTCTAAGGTTCCTCAATATTATCTTTGGGCAGCTTCTTCTTCAGTCTTCTTGAAGTTGGTGTCTCAAGAAGCTGAGTGACTATATAATTTGTATGATGTTCTAGTTTTTGAAAATGTTTGACACTGTTGATTTGTATTACTTTGTTTGCGTATGTGTTGCTATTTCTTATTACGTCATCGTCCATTAATTATACATATCACAATGTTATTGAGAGATTTATTTCTATTAATTTCTATCTTTGTTGAAACATTTTTGTAAGTATAATTGCAAGCACTTGTTTGAATCAAAAGAATTCATGAATATTACATAATCAATTTAAACTGTTCGCTACTAAGATATAGGATAGAGCAGGGCTTAAAAATTCGGGGGTAAAACAAATTACTCAAAACGGATTTGCTAGTGAAACCTATCATTGAAAAACAAGTAAAGTTAGAAATTTTTTAACAACAATATTAGAAAGTAGAGGGCAAAAAAGAACAGCCATCCTAATTCTTACAACGTCGCCTTCAGAAGATATACGGCAATGTTTGAAAATCGATAAAAGAAAGTATTTTCTTTCGTTGTAAGATTTTTTTGTTTGTGAGCACTATTGTTAAGTTTAGGTGACTTTAATTCAAGTTACGTTATTTATTTTATAAGATTTATTGTTATTTTTTAGTTAGATTTAACAGTTTTTTTGCGTACCTTTTACAAAAGCTCGCAAGTGAGAAAAATCAATTGAAACTTTACCCTGGCAAATAAAAATAATAAATAAAAAAGTTAAGTTAAAAACATACTACTTAGTGATAATTTATATTAATAGTTCAATGAATCTTTCTGACAAAACAGATGGATATTTTTGAAACGAAACACCAGATCAAGGTTATATACAGTGTTATTTATAGTGAAACTTATATCTTGCATTGAGTGAATAATGTAGCTATTATTTTGCAAAATCTTTTTGAAATTAAAAAGAAGACATTGGACCTGTTTGTTCTGCCTATGGGGTAAAAAAGACAAGATGACAAATTTTTGAAAAACAGCAAAAAAAACATATTCTAACAATGATTTATTAGCTGAGAGTTTTATTGAACATAGTCAGATAGCTGTTTGTTTGACGTGTTGTTTGTTGTTATATAATTTGTTTGGTTTTTACAATATAATTGCTCAAAGTCAAATTGAACCTTTGTGCCTCACCCTACCCTACTACAAATTCAAAAATTAGTAAATTTCAACAATTATGGTTAGATGAGTATATTATACAAATAACCCCCGTACAACACGGTAGTTACGTTCCAGAAAACTAGCGTGTTATGCGAATCCGTGTTATAAAGGACAAAGAGGGGATAGTACAGAAAGAGGAGCTACGTTCCTAGAATTCAAAAAAACATGCTACATATCATGATTTTATAATAAATATTATTACATTTGTTCGTTTTGTATAAAGTAATATACATTACATGAATTACATGATTTATTGCCATAATTAACAATTAGTGATATTTAACATGATCCTTTATTGTGCAAGATATCCTCATTTTCTGAGCAGTTTTCTATACTATCTTCAAATCTGTGCATTATTTTTTGCAAAAAAATATATTTGCGATTACATGCTTTTATCAAAATGATATTTATATATTTAACACATGTAAAGTAATCTTCATTATATTGTTATGCTCATTTTATTGAAAGAGTTCCTTAAGAATTATTTAATATATTGTTCAGATAATCCTAGAATTTTTTCGATAGAACGTACGCGCTCTAACAATATATATCAAATTAGTTATCTTTTGCACTAGTTCCATCACATTTATTCAGCTGTTGTACGGCAATTTTACTTATTTTAGATTAAATTCTTAAACCGTCTTATGCGATCCTATGAGGTGGATGGTCTCAATTCTTAAACCGTTTTAGAGCGAATCCGTGTTATAGAAGTACCGTGTTATGCGGGGGTTACCTGTATATTGATATTGTACGAGCTTGCTTTATGATTTAGCCAAATTCAACACAGTATTATTCCTCAAACTAATAACAAATAAATGTTTGATAAATGTTTGAAAAACATTTATCGCGGCTTTAAAATATCATGTACAAATATTTTAACAACGAATATTCCGTTCGCGTTGCATGAGCATGAAATCGTTCACAAAAATAAAGTTGCAAGTTGCCAAAGCCGTACAATATGTCGATGCTTGTCTCCATCGATACTATTCTCGAAACGTGAATATGTTTTTTTATTTCCAGATAATCTCGTACGACTCGCCGCGCGGCGGCGTCTCGGTCATAACCGAGAAAGGGGAGACCACGACGTCGTTCCTACTCATACAACAAGCGAGGCCTGCGGACTCCGGACAATATCAATGCAATCCTTCGAACGCCCAAAGCCGCAGCGTCACCGTGCACGTACTAAACGGTAAGAGATCGCTAGCATAAAATCCGCTTTAGGGGTGGACAGTATTGGCAATGTATCGAAATGATCGTATTTGATTCATAAAAGCAATTGTTGGTAATTCAAATTTTATAGAGATCGATAACTGTCAATAATGTCCTAAGGTCATCCTCATATTTGCCATATGCATGTTAGTAACTACTTACATATTTAATTTAGTTTTCTAAACTCAGCAACACATCAACAAACCGATTCTGCCGCTAAATAGACCAATGTTATGGCAAGGTTACGTTATGTAGTATTTTGCATATAAAATGGTACTAAAAACCGTCAAAATGATATGTATTTGCTAGACATCAAGCGTTTTGCACATAAAATGTATCTTCACTTATATGTTATTATGCCACATCACAAAGATGCGCTTTTGATAAAATTCTTTTTATGCGTTTTCTAGGTTAGGTTTTCTATCTAAAAAGCCTTACTGCACAGCAACCATATAGCATTTTGACAGTTTTTAGTACGACTTTATATGGAAGAAGTACGTAATATTGCGTTGCCATAACATTGGTCTTTTTTACTGCAGAATCTACCCATAAATGCATGTTACTGTTCTAATATTTGCCAGACATAGATAGTTGATATCATTTAAATTTATTTACAATGTTTGAATTCGTGAAATTAATATAATTTATACTTTTAAAATCTATATCCGCCATGAACTTATTATTTAGTTTAATTAGTATCCGTTCACTTTGGCATAGTTATATAGTCTAAGAGACCAATTCCCCGATGAAGTAGAAAAAATGTGGTAATGCTATGTTAGGGGTCTATATTTGTATCAGTTGGTAGTAACAAACTGACAAAAAACTATGTAATTTGTCGTGTGATTATAACTTTACACATACATAATAACTAAAACGCAAAAATGCCAAATAGCATTAGTGCATCTTTCTGATGTCTCTTTGATACCAAATATGTGAAGTTAGGTTTTATGTGTAAAACGCCTGACGCACAGCAAATACATAGTTTTTTGACAGTTCTTCAACACAACCTTACACGAATATATACATGTAACTTAGTATTACCACAACATATATATTTTATCGAAAAATTGGCTCTTTGAGTTTTCAAAACTGTGCTCATTTCGACATAATTCCGAAAGAATCTAAGTGCATGTTATTTGCTATAATATATTGCACCAGACAACGATATGGTGCAATATGATTCTTACTAAGCAATAATTAACTTGACTTAATTTGAAATAATTTGAAATATTTAAATTCATAATATTCATATAATTCAAATTCAGAAAATCTATATCAAACATTTATGACCATATTTGAATCATAAAAGCAATAGTTGATATTTCAATTTTGATAGAAAGCTATACCTGTAAATAATGGTTTTATTTCGTCCTCATATTTGTCTTATGCATGTTTCTTACTACAAATTTAATATAGTTTTCAAAAATTTGTTAATTTTGACATAATTCCGAAAGAATCTAAGTGCATGTTGTCGCTTTAATATTTAACAGACATCGGTATATGCAAATTTAATCCTAAAGCAATAGTTGATATGGTTTAAATACTTTTGAAATATTTGAATTCATTAAATCCATATCCGCCATCAATGTAAGTACATAATACTTGCCATATGCATGAATTTGAATTATTTTCAATTGATAATCTAAGTGTATCTGAATCTACTATAGAGACAAAAAAATATTTGGAAGTTATTGATTTAATGTAATTTGATTGATAAACATTATTAAGTACTTAATACTATTGACCGCAGGCTTATTAATAACTTATTTAATAACCAATGATTTGACCACCAGGCTGTTAATCGGCTTTTAAATTACTATTGCTAGCATATTAATTGGGAACTAAGCTGGTATTAATTATAAGTAAAAGCTATCTGAACCATTAGTGTTAAAATCTATTAGTAATCCAAATGCGGTTTATGCAATCCCTTGGCAATTTGTTTATTTTGATCTGATAATCAGCTACTATTTACAGTAATTAGTAATTGAAATACTGTGAATATTAGGAAATATTGAGAGTTTCTGCGATAAGTTTTACATTTGGATTTTGATGAATACATCTGCTTTATATTTGAGTAATAGTGTAACTAGTAATTGTTTAGCATAACAATTCGGATACTGTTTGGGGCATATATGACTTATTTTATTATTTATTTATTTATTATTATTGATTATTATTAATAATTTATATATTAGAAATTTCTGCTGTTAATTTCATGATTTTTATATTATTTCTACTATATTTTACTGCGTTTCAAGGATGTTGAAAGTGTAATTAGATTGTAAAAGAGAATATTTTCAATAATTATATTTATAACTGATAACAATAATATCGCAAATACTCTACTTTCTTAATATGATTATATTTTTATCATCTGATAAACATAGTAAAATTTAGTAGAGAAAATATGAAAATCATGAAAACACTGTTTTACGTTATCTGTGAAATAACAATATTGCTAGGTAAATAAATAGTTCATGTTTTTCTATATTCGAATGTTTGGAGTTTTTAGCTATAACTCATTATAATGAGTACGTATTTGATCAATTGTAGTAAAAAGAATAAACTTAGATGACTTTATATGATGCTAATATGCAAGACTGCTATTCATTCATTTCTTCATGTTTCATTTTTATTTTTTAGCTATTTTCAGTTGAATTTAACCTTTTTTGTTTTATTATACATAAAAATGAAACATAAAGAAATGGAAAGAATAGCATTCTTGCAGACTTGTGCCATGTAAAGTAATTTAAGATCATACGTTTTATTATAAATTTAACTTAACGCTAATTTTAATAACTTAAAATGTAACTTTTGCTAATTTATCACTCAATAATGTTTATACTTATAATAAAAATGTTCTTATTATCTATGTTATTACAAAAATTTCTTAACGATTTTTTGTAAAATTTTTGATTTCATTACTTATTACAAATCCTATTGATTTTATATTACTTATACATATTTGAAATTACTGATACTAGTATAAAGCCTCTTAAAACTATTATGTTGCTCTATATTTATTACATTAAATTGTAATAATCCATTGAAAAATTATACAAGCACCAATTTAATTGGTTAATGATATTGAATATCATTTTTACAAATCTGTTAAAATTTCTGATTAATTTAATAAGTGACTCATAAATTCGAGCAACGTTAAATTTGCAACTTGTCGATTAAAGATTAATTTGTCACATAGTGCCCAAATAACATTTACTGAAATAAACATGAATTTCGATAAAACAATGTGAACAATCGATATATGTATATATAGCCATACACGTTCGATACATATTTTTATACATTTTATTTCGCTTCAAACGCGTTTGAAAAATTCTTCAATAAATTGTTCCGCAATGTGCATGAAATGTCAGTAATCCCCAATTGCATTCAGAATGATATAGTTTTCAGCATGTCGACATATTGTATGAATGGTATTGACATTTCGATAATATTGATAAATATCGCCCATCTCTATTTCTGCGATGCGGTATATCCGAATGTTTTCGCAACCCGATCGGACTTTAACACAACATAGCTCATCCGCTCAGGTCGTCGCTGCAGCAGCAACGATGTTTGGGATTTGTTCTCGAGTGAATGCTTGCGATGAAAGCGTTCGTGCATAGATTTTGGAGCCACTATTCCCGAATTTGTTACAAATCGAATTAATTCGAGAAACTAGCTGTAAGTGGAATTCTGTCTTAAGGCAATTAGGGCATATTGCCTTAAGGCAAATTGCTGGAACTTTCCGTACCAAATATTATCATTTTTTTAAAAACGATTAACATTTTTGAAAAAATTTTACATCAAAAAAATTAGATTTTTGAGAAAATGGGAATTTGACAAAAAATTACTTTCTTGAAAAAAAAAAAATTTTAAAAAAAATATTTTCTTTATTTTGACATATTTTGGAAATTCTGAACTTTTTTCAAGCAACCGTACTGTTTTAACTGCATAGAGACAAATGTCAAAGCGCGTAAGCCGTCTAACGAATAAACATTGGTACGGAACCCATAGGAATGCAAACAAAATTTATATTGATTGTTAAAATCTCTATAAAATATCTGATAATTTGATGTGCATATGTCTAATGATCATTTTTGACCGCCATTTTTTTTTACATTAGATCTCCGAAACCGCTAAACCTGCCTTTATGAAAATTTGATCAGTTTTTCATCTTGTCAATACAAGTAAAATGCCTTTGAATTATTAAAATCGGACGCTCCGTTCTCTTAAAAACTGAGTTACCGTTTTTGGCACTTTTGGCCCCGTATCTTCGGAACGGCTAGACCTGCCTTCGCCAAAAACTAATCAGCACGTCTCTTTATCAATATGAATCGAATGTTTTTTGAATTATTTAAATCGGTTGATCGGTATTCCCGAAATCGTCGACGAAAATTTGTATCCGCACACACACACGCCCACACACACACACACACATACATCCATTTTTATAAGGTATGCCAAAATGTTCAGAAACCTTTAAAACGTAAAGATATATAAAAATTTTCATTTTTGATTTTTTTGCGATTACTATAACTTGCCCCACGGGAAGTTAATAATAATTGAGTTACTTCATGGTTACTTCATTAGAAACTATATAGTCAGAGTTTAATAAAAGTTTAATAAAATTTAATAAAAATTTATCCACGTATTGTTTGATAGTATTAATCAATTTCCCTTATATTAACGTATTAAAGTTTAGTTTTAAGAATTTTTATACATTATTCAAAGTTTTCTTAATAAAATTCTTAATGCACTGTTAATAGTATATATATATATATATATATATATATATATATATATATATAATGTTTAAATCAATTTGTACTCAGAAAAGGTGTTCGTAAACAAAGTACATAGTAGTAAAAACTAAAAATATTTTGGTACATCTTTCTTTTCTAAAGAAATTTAGCTTAATTACAAAAAACTAGAATGAAAAACTACAGTAGCATATATGTTACTATTTTGTTAACT